AGACCAATCTGTGATCAGGCACAGGTTCTACAAATTTCCAGAATTGGACTAGTTTTACTGGTGGAGTAAAAAAGAAAGCTGACTCTGCACTATTGGTCTTAAAAAGCTCTCACTTAACCTTAATCACCCAAATCAGCCGATTCGCAGTGATACTGCATCATGTATTGACACTCTTCCCAGAATGCCTCACTGTGATACTGACCACAGGACACTCTTCCCAGAATGCTTCACCATGATACTGACCGTGGGACACTCTTCCAGAGTGCCTCACCGCGATCACCACAGGATACTCTTCCGAGAATCCCTCACTGTGATACTGACCGCGGGACACATTTCCCAGACTGCCTCACCACGATACTGATCATGGGTCACACTTCCCAGAATCCCTCACCATGATACTGACCGCGGGACAGTCTTCCCAGAATGCCTCATCACGATACTGACCATGGGTCACACTTCCCAGAATGCCTCACCACGATACTGACCACGGGTCACACTTCCCACAATGCCTCACCATGATACTGACCGCAGGACACTTTACCCAGAATGCCACACCACGATACTGACCATGGGACACTCTTCCCAGAATGCCTCACTGCGATACTGACCGTTGGACACACTTCCCAGAATGGATCACTGCGATACTGACTGTGGGACACACTTCCCAGAATGCCTCACCACGATACTGACCATGGGACTCATTTCCCAGAATGCCTCACCGCGATACTAACTGCGGGACACTCTTCCCAGACCATGATGCTGACTGAAAGTCACTCTTCCTGGTCATCCCAGATGTGGTGCATCTGGGACTCTGTATGTAGGTTAGCTGTTACCAAACCTGCTTACACAGCAGTGTAAGCTATTGATACCATCACTGGAAGAATGCTCACACAAAGTCTTCCACAGAATAAAAGATCAATTTTGATGGATTGTAAATATGTTTATGACATATTAGTGAACTGCTGGTTACATTATATGCAAGATACAGAAGATATGGGAGCAGAATAAGGCCATTCAGCAACATGATGGTCTCTTGTGACACGTCAGGCCCAGTTTAAGGGTAAGTACACCTTACTGTTCGCTACATGGACTTAGCACTAGAACAACAACCATCAAATAAACCAGAACTGGTTCATAGAACAAATTACAGCACAGGAACAGGCCCTTCGGCCCTCCAAGCTGCGCCAATCCAGATCCTCTATCTAAACCTGTCGCCTATGTTCCAAGGATCTGTATCCCTCTGCTCCCTGCCCATTCATGTATCTGTCTAGATACATCTTAAATGATGCTATCGTGCCCGCCTCTACCACCTCCGCTGGCAATGCGTTCCAGGCACCTACCACTCCCTGCATAAAGAACTTGCCACACATATCTCCCTTAAACTTTTCCCCTCTCACCTTGAAATCGTGACCCCTAGTAATTGAGTCCCCCACTCTGGGGAAAAGCTTCTTGCTTTCCACCCTGTCGATACCCCTCATGATTTTGTAGACCTCAATCAGGTCCCCTCTCAACCTCCGTCTTTCTAACGTAAATAATCCCAATCTACTCAACCTCTCTTCATAGCTAGTGCCCTCCATACCAGGCAACATCCTGGTGAACCTCCTCTGCATCCTCTCCAAAGCATCCACATCCTTTTGGTAATGTGGCGACCAGAACTGTACGCAGTATTCTAAATGTGGTTGAACCAAAGTCCTATACAACTGTAACATGACCTGCCAACTCTTGTACTCAATATCCCGTCCGATGAATGAAAGCATGCCGTATGCCTTCTTGACCACTCTATCGACCTGCATTGCCACCTTCAGGGTACAATGGACCTGAACACCCAGATCTCTCTGTGCATCAATTTTCCCCAGGGCTTTTCTATTTACTGTATAGTTCGCTCTTGAATTGGATCTTCCAAAATGCATCACCCCCAAAACGTCAGCTTTCCTGCTCCTCTGATGCTGCTTGGCCTGCTGTGTTCATCCAGCTCTACACCTTGTTATCTCACCTTGCATTTGCCTGGATTGAACTCCATCTGCCATTTCTCCGCCCAACTCTTCAATCTGCTGCAATATTCTGCTGCATTCTCCGCCAGTCCCCTTCACTATCTGCTACTCCACCAATCTTAGTGTCATCTGCAAACTTGCTAATCAGATCATCTATACCTTCCTCCAGAACATTTATGTATATCACAAACAACAGTGGTCCCAACACGGATCCCTGTGGAATACCACTGGTCACAGTTCTCATTTTGAGAAACTCCCTTCCACTACAACTCTCTGTCCCCTGTTGCCCAGCCAGTTCTCTATCCATCTAGCTAGTACACCCTGGACCCCATGCGACTTCACTTTCTCCATCAGCCTACCATGGGGAACCTTATCAAATGCCTTATTGAAGTCCATGTATATGACATCTACAGCCCTTCCCTCATCTATTAACTTTGACACTTCCTCAAAGAATTCTATCAAGTTGGTAAGACATGACCTTCCCTGCACAAAACCATGCTGCCTATCACTAATAAGCCCATTTTCTTCCAAATGTAATTAGATCCTATCCCTCAGTATCTTCTCCAGCAGCTTCCCCACCACTGACGTCAGGCTCACTGGTCTATAATTACCTGGATTATCCTTGCTACCCTTCTTAAACAAGGGGACAATATTAGCAATTCTCCAGTCCTCCGGGACCTCACCCGTGCTCAAGGATGCTGCAAATATATCTGTTAAGGCCCCAGCTATTTCCTCTCTCGCTTCCCTCAGTAACCTATGATAGATCCCATTCGGACCTGGGGACTTCTCCACCCTAATGCCTTTTAGAATACCCAACACTTCCCCGCTCCTTTTGCCGACTTGACCTAGAGTAATCAAACATCGATCCCTAACCTCAACATCCGTCATGTCCCTCTCCTCGGTGAATACCGACGCAAAGTACTCATTAAGAATCTCACTCATTTTCTCTGACTCCTCGCATAACTTCCCTCCTCTGTCCTCGAGTGTTCGTTCCTCCCAGGAACAGCCCATTCTATTCCTGATGGACAGAGTGTATCTCATGATGCCCATTCACACTTTCAGGTCCTAGCCGTCCTATAAAACATTGCCCCCTGGCCTGTACATTTCAGCTGGGGTAACAGCAGCTTATACATCCCTGCCACTCAATAGCAGTTTGATCATGACTGAGTTTTCTCACAGCGAGTGGATCATGGTGGAGCTGACAGCAAGCACTGACAGCCTGTTGGTAACATCTTCACTGAGGGATAAAGGGGACAATTGAGGCTATTGAAGCTCTGTGCCCAGCTTCTATAATTTGAGCTTTTCCTGGGAACTGTGTGACTAGTTGATGTTGAGGATTGGTGATGAGTTTGTTGACTAAGGCCTATCGACAGTTCAGAGCGCACTGTAGAAAGTCATCCAGTCTTTATGATCTGCAAGTTCCCCTCTGAGCCATTCACCACCCTGACTTGGAAATATATCGGCGTTCCTTTGGTGTCACTGGGTCAAAATCCTGGAAGTCCCTCCCTAAGGGCAGTGTGGGTCAACCCACAACAGGTGGACTGCAGTAGTTCAAAAAGGCAGCTCACCATCACCTTCTCAAGGCCAAGTAACACCTCAAAGGGAGGTAGAAGTTTTGATCTCTCTTCCACAAACAGCAGTGGATGCTGGATCAATTGTTAGTTTTAAATCTGAGACAGATACATTTTTGTGAAGTAGAGACGCAGGGGCCAAAGGCAAAGATATGGAGTTGGCCAAAGATCAGCCATGATCTGATTGAATGCTGGAACAGACTCAAGAGGCTGAATGGCCTACTCCTGTTCTTGTATTCCTACGTTTCTAACAAGAGACAGCCAATAAATGGAGCCAGAGATGCTCACATTCCCATGAATGAGCAAAACGACTATTGACATTTGACTGATTAGAGGCTGGGTCGTTAAGTATATTTAAGCTTGATTGTGGGCAGCTATTTAACCAGGAAGGAAATTAAGGGTTATGGGAAAAAGGCAGGAAAGTGGAGTTGCAGATGATCAGATTAGCTGTGATCTCATTGAAAGGTGGGGAAGGCTCAATGGTCCCAAAAACCTACTCCTGCTCCTACAGCTCATGGCCTTGCATGTGACGGCCCGTCACTGTGACATCTCCTGAAGAGGTGAGCTCTCTCCTCCAGCTGTTTCACAAATCCCTCATGTTTTCCTGGACCCAATCCCAATGTTTACGAGAGGGAAACCCACAAGCCTTCAGACTAGAGGATTATCCAACCTCCTGCACTCATTGTCAATGCAGTGATAGCCCACTGTGCTCGTGTTGAATTGTCCCAGATAGAATCCTTCACAATGACCTCTTCGAGTCTCAAGCCTTGGAGACACCTCAAGGCCCTTGTACGCTGGGGATGTCGAGGTCTGTCAATGAAATGACACGAGAGTGGTCAGTGCAGCAGTCAGTACCACACATGGCTTTTGGTAGGTATACCCAATGCAGCTGTCTCTCTGCCTGGTTAATCTGATGCCAATGCACAGAACAGGAACAGGGTGATGGAAATGGAGAACTGCACTGGTGTTGAAGAATTTGCTGTCCATCCCACTCGTCCAAATTCCTCACCTTCACTGGATGACATTCATCGATCTGGCCAGGACAGTCACTCAGACTGGTTGGTTTTCTGACTCTGGCACAGCAGGAAGCAGAGAATTCCTGCTTCCCTTTGTGACAGTTGGTGATTAGTGAGAGTGGTTTGCATGTTGTCGGGGGAGAGAGAGGTTTCAGCACCATCAGATTACCATGAAGACCTTCAGGAAGACAAGTTAGCGATGCTCTGAGCAGAGCTCACACCAGCTTCACGTCGGTGTTCCAGTCCTTGAGCCTTCCAGAAGAGAACAGAACCTGTCACAGTTTCTGCAGCTGCCCCTCCTCAGGTACACGGCTCTCCCTGAGGCTGGCTTTGATGCCAGGACTCAGCGGCTCACAGAGCAGACTCCAAAGAAATGCTTCCCAGTGGCTAATGTGACAGTAAACACATTCAGACAACAGGCAAAGAGCTAAAATAAATTTATTAGCATCAGAATTTCGCTTAAAAAGAGAGATAGTGTTCAATGTAGACGGCAGACGGGGTTACACCCAGGACAACCATTGATGACACAACACAAAGATTTAGGGCAATGGAGTTTTAAAAACACTCCAGTGAATCTCTTCCAAACATGAAAATACAAATGGACAGTTTTCCCAATTACATTAGCAGGCAATAATTTTCACTCCTTCACAAGAATTGACAGTTAAAGGCTGAGATTAAAGACCATGCTTCCATGGATACAGCTCCCACACACACACTGACTCTCACTGGGGTACGGTCCCACACACACACTGACTCTCACTGGGGTACGGTCCCACACACACACTGACTCTCACTGGGGTACAGTCCCACACACACACTGACTCTCACTGGGGTACAGTCCCACACACACACTGACTCTCACTGGGGTACAGGGTCCCCCACACACACTGACTCTCACTGGGGTACAGGGTCCCCCACACACACTGACTCTCACTGGGGTACAGGGTCCCCCACACACACCGACTCTCACTGGGGTACGGGGTCCCACACACACACTGACTCTCACTGGGGTACGGTCCCACACACACACTGACTCTCACTGGGGTACGGTCCCACACTCACACTGACTCTCACTGGGGTACAGTGCCACACACACACACAGACTCTCACTGGGGGACGGGTACCACTGACACTGACATATTCAGTGTAGTACAGGAATATTATTGTTTTCCTAATAACTGAATGACCCTGAGTCTCACCCACTGGGTGGGTGAAGATGTGTATGACACGGGTTCCTGCTGAGGATGTCTGAAACGAGGCAGCTACCAAGCCATCAGCTCTTGATGTCTCTGCCTGCACAGTGTCCATCAGCCTATGTTTGAAAGGAGGCTGAAATGGTGTGAAACATCAGACCTGGATATTTCAGAGATCTATCGACCTGTCCCAGCTGAGTCCATCTTTACTTCTGTCTCTCTGATGGGAATTGCCCTGTCATTGGCTGGATCAATGGGAGAATCCTTGGGATGAGCCAGATGGAGGGGGTTTTGGCCGTGTCATTCTCGATGGTTGCTGCTCTGTTTCCAACGCTGAGAGGGTTTGCGATTGTGCAGAGCTACCTCCATGACCTCACAGCCCCCAGCAATCTTCTCCTGTGCTATGAAGAAGATCGCCACACTGGCAAAGTACCACCGTGCCAGGCTGTACGACCAGATGAGCACAAAGATGCCAATCACAAAAAAAGTCCAGTAGATGATAGAGAAGAACTTGATGAGGAAGACCCGACCCCTGGACTTGCAGGGAGGCAGCCGGGCGCGAAGCTGTGTCCCGACCTGATCCTGCCTCTGAATCCAGCTCAGAGCTGAGCTGTGGAGTAAAACTCGACTTTGGCCCTTGCTCTGACTCCAGCCCCTACCCCAGATGGGAGCTTTCCTGTGAACCTCATGCCGACTTGGATTCTGCTCCCGGACTGGACTCTGCTCCCGGACTGGACTCTGCTCCTGGACTGGACTCTGCTCCTGGACTGGGCTGGAAGTCGGAATCAGATCGCTGAATGAATGGCTGCCCTGGTAGTAAGCACGCAGTAATTTTTCCTTCTCGAACCAGCGTAGGCAGCACCACTCCTTCAGGCCATCCATGGAGGTGGGCAGCTGGTCTGCTGGGTAACGCCGGATGTGGAAGTGAATCTCTCTGGGGAAGTTGCCAGTGAATAGGTCCCTCTCGGACTGCGGAATGTTGTAAGGGTAGGCCACCGTCACATCATGGATAGCATCGAGATTACAGCCTAGGAGAAAGGCAGACAGCTGGTTAGTGAGTCACAGATCAGATTGAACTAGACCCCCTGAAGCTGCACACTTGCTAAACCTGGTGGAGTGGCAAGCAATCACCGAGTGTTTATGGTGTAGAAGGCGGCTGTACAGGCCAGTCACGGACCCCACCAGTGTCGGAGATAACCACGTGTACAGGGCATGCTCCCAATGGCAGAACTGTGAGCCCCCAATATCGGAAACATCCTTCCTGCATTTATCCTGCCTTAGAAGGGGAGGTGATGGCCTAGTGGTATTATCGCTGGACTGTTAATCCAGAGACCCAGATAACATTGTGGGGCCCACGTTCAAATCCTACCACGGCAGATGGTGGAATTTGAATTTAATAAAATATCTGGAATTAAGAATCTGGTAATAACCATGAATCGGTTGTGGATTGTTGGGAAAAACCCACCTGGTTCACTAATGCCCTTTAGGGAAGGAAGCTGCTATCCTTACCTGGTCTGGCCTACATGTGACTCCTGACCCACAGCAATGTGGTTGACTTATAACTGCCCTCTGGGCAGTTAGGGATGGGCAATAAATGCTGCCTAGCCAGTGATGCCCTCATCCCGTGAACAAATAAAGAAATAAAAGTCCTGTTAGGATTTTATAGGTTTCTACAAGATTCCTCTTCATTGTTTTAAACTCCAGTGAATATAATCCTTACTGACTAAATCTCTCCTCACACATCAGTCCTGCCATCCCAGGAATCAGTCTGGGAAATCTTTGCTGCACTCCCTCCAACACCAATAGCTGGGGCCCAAGCACTGATCCCTGCGGTACCCCACTAGCCACCGCCTGCCTCTTGGAAAAAGACCCATTAATTCCCACACTTTCTTTCCTGTCTGCCAAGCAGTTTCAATCCAATTCAATACACCACCCCCAATCCCATCTGCTTTAATCTCACACTTTAATCTCTTATGTAGGATTTTGTTGACAGATTTCTGAAAGTCCAGGTAAACCATATCTATGATCACAGCTGATCATCCAATTCAATAGCCTAATCCTGCTTTCTCCCCATAACCTTTGATCCCATTCGTCCCAAGTGCTATATCCAGTCACCTCTTGAATACATTCAATGTTTTGGCATTAACTACTTCTTGTGGTATTGAATTCCACAGGCTCACCACTCTCTGGGTGAAGAAATGTCTCCTCATCTCCGTCCTAAATCATCTACCCCGAATCCTCATACTGTGACCCCTGGTTCTGGACACACCCACCATTGGGAACATCCTCCCTGCATCTACCCTGTCCAGTCCTGTTAGAATTTTAAGTCTCTGAGAACCCTCTCTTCACTCAAATTGGTGCCAGAAGCATATAGAGAACGGTTCAGAAATATAAGGAAGGAACCAGGTCAGACTTATGTCGAGTTTGAAAGAAATAAACAGATAGATGGATGAGAGCATTAAAAATAGAAAAGACATGTGAGAATCTTAGAGAAAGATTATTCTGCTGGAGGAGTTCAAAAACTCACTTCCAGAAGTGATAAGAACTCATGTTAAGGAACAGAAAGTTAAAACAGTGAGCAGAGCTGCAGAGATGGCTGATGAATACACATTAGTGCATAAATCAAAATTGAGGTTCCGAAAGTAATTTCATTCCATCAGGGACAGAAATTGGGGAAAAGGGAGATCCTTCAATGAAAAACAAAAAAGGAGATCATACTGGGAACAGTTTGTCACAAGTGAAAAAAGAAACCCAAGAGGGTGAAAAGAGGTGAAAGACCTCAGGTGTTTCTGCTGTGATAGAGGGGGACACATAAAGTCACAGTGCTGGTGGTTTGAGAGAGGCACTGGAGAAAACAGGCTAAACCAGTGGGATTAGTTGAAGTGGCGAAGGAGAAGTCGAGGAGCTGCAGGAGAGTGCACAGCCTTGTCACCGGCTGGATAGTGAGATAACGTCTGATCTCTTCACCTCTGTGGGTAAGGTTTACCTTGGTAGAACAGGAGAAGGTAAACAGGTTACAATATTGAGAGATATGGGAGCTGGTCAGTCTCTAACAGTAAGAGATAAAAGTATTTGCACTCCATCTGATGTGTTACCCGAGACAGCGGTAATCTGTGGAATAGATGGACAGAGATTTAGCATTCCCCTGTGTAAGATAAGGCTGGAAAGTCCAATCAACACTGGGGAAGTGACAGTGGAACTGAAGGAAAAATTGGCTATTCCAGGAATACAGTCTGTTCTTGGAAATGATATAGCTGGATCACAGATGGGAGTGATGCCCCTTGTAGTGGCGAAGCCAAAGGAAAACCAGGGAACTGAGGAGTTAAAAGTAAAATACCCTGGAATTTTTCCAGATGTGTGATGACAAGATCCCACAATCATATGTTAATGCAAGAGGGGAAAACCAAAGAGAAAGACAAAGGAGATAGTAGGAACTGCAGATGCTGGAGAATCCGAGATAACAAGCTGTAGAGCTGGATGAACACAGCAGGCCAAGCAGCATCAGAGGAGCAGGAAGGCTGACGTTTCGGGCCTAGACCCTTCTTCAGAAATGGGGGAGGGGAAGGGGGTTCTGAAATAAATAGGGAGAGAGGGGAAGGCGGATAGAAGATGGATAGAGGAGAAGATAGGTGGAGAGGAAACAGACCGGTCAAAGAGGTGGGGATGGAGCCAGTAAAGGTGAGTGTAGGTGGGGAGGTAGGGAGGAGATAGGTCAGTCCAAGGAGGACGGACAGGTCAAGGGGGCGGGATGAGGTTAGTAGGTAGGAGATGGGAGTGCGGCTTGAGGTGGGAGGAGGGGATAGGTGGGAGGAAAAACAGGTTAGGGAGGCGGGGACGAGCTGGGCTGGTTTTGGGATGCGGTAGGGGGAGGGGCACACCCAGCACTTTTCCCTGCAACCGCAGGAAGTGCTACACCTGCCCCCATACCTCCTCCCTCACCCCCATCCCAGGCCCCAAGAAGACTTTCCACATCAAGCAGATGTTCACCTGCACATCTGCTAATGTGGTATACTGTATCCGCTGTTCCCGTTGTGGCCTCCTCTACATCGGGGAAACCAAGCAGAGGCTCAGGGACCGCTTTGCAGAACACCTATGCTCGGTTCGCAATAAACAACTGCACCTCCCAGTTGTGAACCATTTCAACTCCCCCTCCCATTCCTCAGACGACATGTCCATCCTGGGCCTCCGGCAGTGCCACAACGATGCCACCCAAAGGTTGCAGGAACAGGAACTCATATTCCGCTTGGGAACCCTGCAGCCCAATGGTATCAATGTGGATTTCACAAGCTTCAAAATTTCCCCTCCCGCTACCGCATCCCAAAACCAGCCCAGCTCATCCCCACCTCCCTAACCCGTTCTTCCTCCCACCTATCCTCTCCTCCCACCTCAAGCCGCACCCCCATTTCCTACCGACTAACCTCATCCCGCCCCCTTGACCTGTCCGTCCTCCCTGGACTGACCTATCTCCTCCCTAACTCCCCACCTACACTCACCTTTACTGGCTCCATCCCTGCCTCTTTGACCGGTCTGTTTCCTCTCCACCTATCTTCTCCTCTATCCATCTTCTATCCGCCTCCCCCTCTCTCCCTATTTATTTCAGAACCCCCTTCCCCTCCCCCATTTCTGATGAAGGGTCTAGGCCCGAAACGTCAGCCTTCCTGCTCCTATGATGCTGCTTGGCCTGCTGTGTTCATCCAGCTCTACACCTTGTTATCTCAGAAAGACAAAGGAGTTGAGGTCCAGTTAGCTGATGTCCTGTTTGATGAAATGGTAAAGGAAAAACCTAAGCAGGTAAAGGATCAGGAATAGGTTTCTAGTTCTGAAAGACTAATGGAGATACGAGAAAAGGATGAGACAATAAAAGATTTATATCATAAAGCTTACTTGGAAAAGGAATCTGAATATATTCCCAAACGTTATTAACTTAAGGATAAAATCCTAAGGTGGAAATGGAGACCGTGACAGGTTAGTGCAGAGGAGAAATGGGTGGAAATGAACCAGATTGTGTTGCTGGTAGCGAAGAGACAGGAAGCATTGTGGGTAGCACACAAATTACCGGCAGGAGGACTTCTGGGACTGAGGAAGACTCAGGCCAAGATACAGAAGCATTTCTATTGGCCTGCATTACACAAGGATGCGGCTGAATTTTGCCAAACCTGTCATAGATGTCAGATGGTAGGAAAGCCACAGGCTGTAATAAAACCAGCGCCTTTGATACCAATTCCCACGTTTGAAGAACCTTTCACATGGGTTATGACTGATTATGCAGGTTCTCTCCCTAAAACCAAAGCCGGGAGCCAGTATTTGCTAACTCTAATGGATGTGTCTACCAGGTTTCTGGAAGCAAATCCATTGCGGAATGTTAAGGCAAAAAAGGTTGTGGAGGAGTTGTTTGCTTTCTCTATCAGTTATGGACTACGCAGAAGTTTCAATCAGACCAAGGGTACAATTTTACTGCCAAACCATTTAAGGTGGTCATAGACAGTTTAGGCATCCAACACTTTAAATCAAGTGCGTACCATCCTGAATCCCAGGGAGCATTGGAAAGGTGGCACCAAACCCTAAAGACCATGCTGTGGGCTTATTGCCAGGATTACCCAAGTGATTGGGATAAAGGTATCCCATTTATATTATTTGTTATTAGAGATGCTCCAAATGAATAGACTCAGTTTACTCCATTTGAGTTGATATTCGGACACGAAGTTAGAGGGCCTTCAAAATTAATTAAGGAAAAATTGATAGGTCTGAAGTTAGAGATCTCACATTAGATTATATATCTGAGGTAACAGAAAGATTAAACAGAGTTGGTGAATTAGCTAGACAACATTTGAAGGTGGCACTGCATTTAATGAAGTAAGAGGCAGATTAGAAATCCAAAATTCAGACGTTTGCCCATGGGGATAAAGTATTGGTGCTGTTGCCAGTGGTAGGAGATCCCTTCAAAGCAAAGGTTTAGTGGTCCCTTTCAGATTGAGAATTCAAGTCAGGTGAATTATCTGGTAAAGATGCCAGATAGGAAATAACTTTA